CCACCAGAGCTCCATGTGGCTGGGCACCGAGGACGGCGGGTGCGGCGGCGCCGGGGAGGGACGCGGGGGACGCCGGGGAGGGTGGCAGCGGGTGCTCAGCTCCTCTCCTGCGTCCCCAGCATCCACGTGTACCAGTCCTCGGACAACATCCGCAACAGGAAGAACAGCATGAAGATGCAGCACGCCGCCGCCGTCATGTGCATCCTGTGAGCGCGGCGGGTGTTTGCGGTGGCGGGTGTTGGGGCTCCGGGTGTCACCGTGAGCCCCGGAGGAGCCGGACCGGCTCCGGGCATCGCGGTGGCTCTTGTCGCCGCAGGTACCTGGATAACCAGGTGTTCGTGTCGCTGGCCAACGGGGAGCTCATCGCCTACCAGCGGGAGGCAGGTGAGGCCGCGCGCGGCTGCGGGGGGCACAAGGGGTGTCCCTCCTGCAAGGGGTGTCTGTCCTGCTGTGGGTGTACCTCTTGCACTGGGTGTCCTTCAGTGGGTGCCTGTTCTAAATGGGTGTCCTGCAATGGGTGACTATCCTGCAAGGGGTGTCCTTCTTGCATGCGGTGTCCCTCTTGTGTGCGGTGTCCCTCTTGCATTGGGTGACTGTCCTGCAAAGGGTGTCCCTCTTACATGGGGTGTGTCTCTTGCATTGGCTGACCCTCTTGCGTGGGGTGTCCTTCTTGCTTTGGGTGTCCCTCCTGCACTAGGTGACTGTCCTGCAAGGGGTCTCCCTCTTGCATTGGGTGTCCCTCCTGCACTAGGTGACTGTCCTGCAAGGGGTCTCCCTCTTGCATTGGGTGTCCCTCCTGCACTAGGTGACTGTCCTGCAAGGGGTCTCCCTCTTGCATTGGGTGTCCCTCCTGCACTAGGTGACTGTCCTGCATGGGGTATCTCTCTTGCATGGGGTGACCCTCTAGCATGGGGTGTCCCTCTTGCATGGGGTGTCCCTCTTGTGTTGGGTGTCCCTCTTGCATGGGTCAGGCTCCTGCAGTGGGTGCCTGTTTCACCACGGCTGTGTGTCCTGCAAGGGGTGTCTGTCCTCCTATGGGGGTCCCTCCTGCCATAGGTGTCCTTCCTGCAGTAGGTGCTTGTCCCTTAGGGGTGCCTGTCCCATAAAGGGTGTCCCTCATATATGGGGTGTCCCTTGCGCAGTGGGTTCCTGTCCTGCACTGGGTGTCCCCCTGCAGCGGGCGCGTGTCCCAGCACGGGTGCCCTGGGTGCCACCCGCTTTCCCGGGCACATGGGAGGGTGACGGGGACGGGCAGGAGGGGAGCGCCATGGGGACACGGGAGCCACGCGTGCGTCATGGGGACACACGTGTGCTGTGGGGACACAGGAGCCACATGTGCACCGTGGAGACACGGGAGCCCTGCATGTGCCGTGGGGACACGGGAGCCACACGTGTGCCATGGTGGCACGAGAGCCCCACGTATTCCATGGGGACACGCACATGCCATGGGGACACGGGAGCCACGCGTGTGCTGTGGTGACACAGGGACCACTTGTGCCGTGGGGACATGGGAGTCACACATGCACCGCGGGGACATGGGAGGCATGCATGCACTGTGGGGACACGGGAGCCACATGCATGAGCCATGGGGACACGAGAGCCACATGCGTGAGCCATGGGGACACAGGAGCCACATGTGTGCCATGGGGACACGTGTGTGCCACGGGGACACGGGAGTCACACATGCGCTGCGGGGACACGGGAGGCCTGCATGCACCATGGGGACACGAGAGCCACATGCGTGATGCGTGGGGACACGGGAGCCACACATGCACTGCAGGACGTGGGAGCTCTGCATGCGTCATAGGGACACGGGAGGCACATGTGCACCGTGGGGACACAGGAACCACATGTGTGCTATGGGGACACGCATGTGCCGTGGGGACACGGGAGCCACACGTGCACCATGCACCGGGTCCCCCAGGGGGACAGGGGAGCCACGCGTGTGCCGTGGGGATGCAGGAGCCACATGTGCACCATGGGGACACGGGCACCACACGCATGGCACGGGGACACGGGAACCCTGTGTGCACCATGGGGACACGGGAGCCACGCGTGTGCCGTGGGGACACGCATGTGCCATGGGGACGCGGGAGCCACACGTGCACTGTGGGGACATGGGCACCACACGTGTGCCACGGGGACGCAGGAGCCCTGCGTGCGCCGTGGGGACGCGGGACCCATGTGTGCACCATGGGGACACGCGTGTGCCGTGGGGACACGGGAGGCATGCATGCGCCGTGGGGACACGGGAGCCACAT